GAGTGGGTTAAAAGATACTGGAGCTTGAAGGGCGTTCCTTGAGTCACTAAAATTTGTGAAGATCTTGTTCGTCAAGGGTGATAATCATCTAAAATAGAACAAGTTACCAAACACTATCAATAGCCTGAAGTTGCTGGGAGACGTCAAATATAGTTGGACAGATATATGAATAATAATTGGCTGGGTGTAAATAAGACTGCCTTGTCTGGACAAATAGGCCTACTCCAGTTTCCTTCATTTTTATGTTCTTATTACGAGTCTCTGAGGTGTTTTTTGCCTACTTACGAGTTTCTGTAGCTTGGGAGCTTCTCCATTTCCTTTTGTGGGTTTTCCTAGTTGCAGGTGCTTGATGGCAGGTGTGTAAGACAGGATTATGTTGGTAGGTGAGGGAGCAGATGTATAATGGTAAGTTAGGAGGGCAGGTATGTGACGGCAGGTGTGGAATGACAGATGTGGAGAACAGGTGTGAGATGACAGGTGTGGAAGGCAGATTTTGTGACGTCAGGTATAGAAGGTAGCATGTTGGCCTGCTCCTTACCCCCAACTCCCCTCCAGTAAACGTCTCCTGCACTGGTTTAGGAGAAATCGCTTCCATCCCTCACCTCAGGGAGCGGAGTTCAAATCCTGTTAGGGGTGGCAGGTGGTAATTTGGACTCATATATCGTGAATTTCCATGTGGTAACCATCAGCCGTCGATATTCTTGACACACTACCTGGCGTGAGTGTAGAAAAAAATGAATTTCAGATGTAATGGCCCAGTCGTCAGTCATTCTGAGTAGGTCATGTAACTTTCTTTTCAAGTTAAATGTGGTTGATTCTCATGTGTATAGTTATAATGGTGAGTCCGAGTAGTCAATCATTCTATGCCTTGTTCTGCGAGTTGGTTATGTAACTTTCTTTTTGCTTTTAACTCGTGTTTGGTTGTCAGACTGTTTTATCCTTCTCCAGTAATATTCATTTATGGATTATTTCTTGTCTTCGGTCTTATTAATATTACCTGTAGTGCCTTGATTCTTATTGATATTCGTGTCTTAAGTCTTCATAATATTTTATCAGGAGTCTCATTTATATATTCGTGTTTTAAGTCATATTAATATACACGGTAATACAACAACTACTATACACGGTAATACAACAACTAATAGACACGGTAATACAACAACCATATTATACACGGTAATACAACCATTATCCACGGTAATACAGCAACTAATATACTCGGTAATACAGCAACCATTATCCACGGTAATACAACAACTAATATACTTGGTAATACAGCAACCATTATCCACGATAATACAACAACCATTAACCACGATAATACAACAACTAATATACACGGTAATACAGCAACTAATGTACACGGTAATACACCAACTAATATACACGGTAATACAACAACTAATATACATGGAAATACAACGTCCATTATACATAGTGGTATAACGACCATTTTCTAGGTTAATGTACCCGCAGAAAAAATTACCACAAGTAATAAGTCAGATGTAATTTGCTTCGAGTTGGTGCTGCCTGTGATTGTAATTATAGAGTGAGAGAGAGTAAGGGAGAGAAAGAGGATGGGAGATGAGAATAATATGGAAGAGAGAGAGAGAGAAAGAAAGATTAATAGAAGTGGAGACGAGAAGGAGGAGGGAGGGAGGAAGACGATGGAAGATGAAATGGAGGAGAAAGGGGAGTGAGGGAGGGAGGGAGATGTATAAAGAGAAAGACAAATTGGAGTTAGAGTGAGGAAATGGAAAGGAGGGAGATGAAGAGGAGGTAGAAGAGAAAGCGAGACAGAAGTGGAGCAGGGTAGACAAGAAGGAGGAGAAGGTAATGATGGAGGGAGAGAGTGGAGAAGGAAGAGAGGAGAATGGGATAGAGGATGGGGTTTGAAGGAGGGATGGATGGGGGGAGGAGGAAGGAAGATGTGAGACCTGATAATGAGAGAGAGAAAGCTGAAGGTGAAATTACTTTGACTTAACACGGGTTCTGCTGGTTGTTGGTCTTCATGGTCCGTCGGTCCGCGTATCACCCTCAACGTGGTTCATCAGATTCGCTTTGAAGGAACATTTCATCAGCTCTCTCGAAGACCGACGAGTACTCGATGATCCTTGTATATCGTGGTATGTGTATCGAGTAATGTTTAAGCCTCGTTGTTAATTCCTCTGTGTTCTGTAGCTCCAAGAATGACAGTATTCTTATATTTATTTTAGTATTTGTTTGTGTGAGTGAATTTGTTAAGGGGTATACGGATTCAGGGTCTGTATTAATTCTTCTTTGTGTATAGTAAGAAGGCTGCTATCCAAGTATCCATGCTAGCGCTGCCTGGACTTTCTCATGCATCCCTGAGTCGTGGAGGTGTTCGAGTTGAGGTGCGGTAATTTAGGCTGTTTCGTCTTCCAGAAATGTCGAGTATTATGATGTGTGTATGCAAAGTATTCTCAAGTACTGATCTACTGTTAACAAAGCCGATTCCGCTCCCCGCACCCCTCCTGGCCCAAGACCTTTCTAATGAAGAATATATAATATCAGCTTTCTTTTTTTTTTTTAGTTAATCTGAAACAGACATAACGAGAACTTGCGTTTATAGGCGCATTTTCCTTGTTTCTATATACAAATTCATTTTCAGTTTGATAAATTTTTCATATTCAAGAACAAATTCCTCCTGTGGAGCTTCAGGAATAAACAGACAGGCAGATAGTGAGACAGACTGCCCTCGTTTGTAGTGCACATAATATTTAGTTAAAAGCCATGAGGTATTTAACTTCCTGTCTCTTGTGTTAGTTTTTCGTTTAAGATATATTGTCCAGAATCGAGAAAAAAGTCTTTAGTCTTCCGAGTGAGACCCGCCGCGTGATGAACAGAGGCCTGACACCCGTATCTCGCCAGTACGAGCCACACATCACTCTCTTTTGTCAACGCTCAATGTACGTGGGCAGCGTTTACCTTCATATCTTGGGCGACAGCTGCATGGCTCCCATCAGTGAGAGTCATGGTTTGTTGTGTGGCTGCTAAAAATCTTCACGAGATTCTGTTTAGAAAATATTCCTTTCCTGAGTGTGGCTGCGGTTTCAGTTAAGATATTCCAGTTTTGACCTCTGGGAAGGGGTAACTCGACGCCTCTTGAAATGCATTAGAAGTGCCTCCTCTGGCAGGATAATATATTACATCCGACTAGTGGGACCCCCTCAGTCAGGCTGTGATTGGCTGTAGCCCATGAAATTGTTGCTGGAAATAAATCAAGGATTCTACACAACGTCTCTCAAGATAATGAGACACGATGAACATGTGCACCTAGCCTAGCATCTCCAGAGCATGTTTGGTTAGGTTAGGTTAATGTTAGGTTTAAGTAGAGTAAATTTCAATTTGGCTAGTATGTTTAGAATGTTTTTGTAACATGACGTCACGTACTTGTACCATTTACAGCCCCGTGTTTGGACGGTCTCTACCCCGTGTCGATGTACAGTATTTAGTGTGTTATAATTATGGAGATGACAAATATATTCGAAGACTATAATAGTTGCAATTAATTATTTTGGTAGCAACATCTTGTACTTATTACTCGGCCATGATGTGTATTTGTTGTCTCTGTTTACACTCAGGGGTGATGTTCACTGGGCGTTGGGGAGGAAGGCTGGTCGGCGTGGGATGGAGAGAGAAGGGGATTAGGTGAGGAAGGGGAGAGATGATCTCTGATATAACCTACCGAACAATTATATCAGACTTGATCAGGTCGTGATTCAAAGATGATAATTAAAGCGGTAAGTCTTTATCTTAGTGTGACTAGTGGCGGTTCAGGTCCTGGCCTGGAGGGGCAGTCGGCTGGAGCGGTGTACAGCTGCATTATCTGGTCGTGAGATTGTTATCACGCTTGTGCCGAGCAACCCACGAGGGCAGCTACACACAACACTGTTTGCTCACCCTCTTCCCTGACACGACACTCTCCACTCGTGTGATTACCCACGCCTTGCTGCAGGTCACGGGGTTAGTATGCTGGGCTAACAGCGGCGGCGGCGTATCAATTATGAGGAAGGGAACTGTGATATTCGCTATTGTGTGTGGTTAGGGAAGAACAGCAGTGCCTTGGTACCAATGTTTTGGTACCATGACAAAGTTAATTCTGAGTATTATGAACCTTGAGTATAGAGACAAACAGAATTTGTAATCTCTTGAGACATACAGTACAGTGAGGTGAGATAAAAGCAAAGAAGGAGTTAAATAAAGGTAATATTAACTAAGGTATTTAAACTATCAAATTAGAAGTTAACGCTTAGTGATGGTTTTAAATTATATAAAATTAGATTTAGGAAGGAATTAAGTAAAGATTGGTTTGGAAATAGAGTTGTGGATGAATAGAGCAAGTTACCAAACACTATCCATATATATATATATATATATATATATATATATATATATATATATATATATATATATATATATATATATATATATATATATATATATATATATATATATATATATATATATATATATATAATGGCTTATAGCTGGTGACCGGTGTTCTATACTATAAATTATATCAGCTAACACTATGGGCATTTTAATTGCGTATCTGTTGATACTAAAATCTAACCACTCCTCCTTGTGTGATCCAGAAGTACATGTCAGATAGTGACAAAAGTGCCCAGGGAATTTTGCCCTATACTGTATATGTTTTATGATTACAAAATGAAAATATATACATGTATAAATCAGTTTATGTAAGTAACTCTGGTGTAACGCGTCAACTCATATTTTGTTATGTAAAATGTGATTGGAAATATTTTATTGTTTTCATTAATTTGTGTTGTAACTGATTGGTAGTTTTATCAATTTTGAAGAGTGTAAGTTTATAGACGGACAAATATTTGTGTTTTGTGGTATTTGGATGATATTTGTTTTTGTTTAGTTTGATAAGGTTTGTCTATATTGTATTTTGGGGGGGGGACCCATAATGAAATGGTAGAGACTAACTCTTTATCCGTTGTTGTTTACAGTTCGCCGCCAAGATGCTGCCGGAGAAACTTCTGTTCCACGTGAAGCTGCTGTTCTGCATGGTGGTAGTGGCCACCGAGGGTAAGAAGAAGAAAAAGAACCGCAAGGATGCCGATGAGCCAGAGACTGCATCCCTCCTCGACCCGAGCTTCAACATGTGCGATATCCAGACACCAGAGGTCATCTACTGCTACTGTGACGTCCTCGATATGGACCAGGTCAGTTAAGGTCACCCTAAGGTCATTCTAATGGTATCTACAGCTGTTGTGACGACTTTGCAAAGAGAAAGTTTAGTACAAGTCGTTATGAGGGTGTTTGTAGTTCTCGTGGAGTCCTCGAAATGGTTTATCTTAGTATAGGTGACTTCAAGCCTCTCCTGGGCTGACACCAAGTCGCTCTCAGGTCAGTTATAAACCCAACCATATACAGTATATAATATGATGCTCCTCGTGTAGATCAGGTAAATGTGGTTTATGAAGAGATGTCTTGTTTGTTACCGTCCTTCCCTGTCCTCCTCTTCTGCAAGGGCTGTGCAGGTCATTCCCAGACATGATATTGTCATTCCATACAGCTTCCTAGACAGCGTTTTAAACAAGAACATGTCATTATCAGGTGCTCTGTTGTTGTGTGTCCCTGTGTAGAGAAGGTACAGGTCACGCTCTAGTTGTCTCCTGTGTCTCTGAATTAAAAGACCTAAGGTTTTCTACTCTTCCTGCAAAGTCCTGAACGTGAATAAGATCATTACGTGGTACATGTAGATCAATAGAGGTCACGTTCAGGTTATATTTTGCCGCATCTTCTTTACTAAGACGGCCAGTCAGTAATTTCCTGTTACTGTGGCAGCAACACAGGTCATATTTGGGTCATTTATAACAGAGATTGTCATCCAACAAGTTCAGTATAGGACACGTTGAGGCCATTTAACTACCTTTGTGACGTCTTTTTTATTCCGGCAGGGTAAGTGTAGGTCATGTTACGGTCATCTACTATTTCTTTAACGCCTCTGTCTTGTATAAGGTGAGTTTAGATAGAGACTGTGGGATCATTCTTGTTCGTACCGTGGAATTCAGACTCTAGATGTCGAGGCTATTGCTATTTATAACCCTTTTATGTGATCTATATTTTCAAACCAGCCATTAAACTTTTATTATAACAGCTTGATATCACCATAGACGATGTATGCTGAGGAATATACAGTATGCGCCTTAGCTTTGTATACCAGGGTCACCATAACTATGCTCTTTGGTCAGTATATACCCACTCGATTTATTTTTTGGAGGGTGATCTGTTTCAGGCCACACAAGGCTAAGGGTGTCGGGGCTCTGTCACTGTATAATTGGATTTGAACTTTTCATTTCCATACTGCTGTAGTGGTGAGGATACAGCAGGAATAAGTGTATTATCCCTTGTGTGTGTGTGTGTGTGTGTGTGTGTGTGTGTGTGTGTGTGTGTGTGTGTGTGTGTGTGTGTGTGGACAGTATATTATTTTCCCAATAGAATTTCAACCTAATGTTTTTTTCATAAAGTAATAGTATTTGTTTTAGCTTTTAAACTAATGGAGACATTTTAAGGTGTGTCTATTGAGTGATTGGTTGTCTGCCGTTTGTGAAGGTCTCGTTGTGTGACGTTAATTGTCATGTAGCCCTTATGGTGTTGTTACAGTGAACACGACCAAGTTATTTGTGAACTGGTAAGTGATAGTGATGAACAGAGAGTGATTATGAAATATGAGGCATTTTGGACTGAGTACACACACATAAACACACCTACACACAGAGTCACAGACCTACACATAAACACACCTACACACAGACACACCTAAACACACACACCTACAGTACACAGACACACCTACACAGACAAACCTACACAGGCACACCTATACACAGTCACAGACCTAAACACAGACACAACTACACACAGACACAACTACACACAGACAGACACAGACACATACACACACACACACACACACACACACACACACACACACACACAGCAGTAGTGCCACTTTTTGAAATGTTGGATTACTGCAGATTTGATCCTCTCTGGTATAAACTGACAAGCGGCCGCATAAGCCATTGGCACTATTTCTGGCACTCGAGTATATTTAGGGATGACCACCATGAGCTGCTAGGTGAGTTAGTGCCAGTTTTATTATCTGAGTGACGGCCTTTGTGTCTTGTCTCGTGTCTGTCCTCTATGCGGTGTTCCCACAATATCGCCAATTTTATTTAACAGACGGCGAAGCTATTCATATTTATTTTTATTACATATATATTTTTTTCCCATTAATGTTCATTTACTGACAAACATTCACACTATTATTATTATTAGTAGTAGTATTAGTAGTAGTGGTAGCAGTATTAGTATTAGTAGTAGTATAATTTGTTGTTGTTTTTGTTGTTGTATAATATCTGGTATCTGCTTAAGGGATCATGTATGGAAGAGAGATTAGAATTGTAAACATCAATATACTCTTTAAACCATCACAGTAGTTTAGGTGACCTGCAATGGGTGATTAGGATTTAAACGTCTATTTACTCGATTCTTCTTTATGTTAGTAATTTTTTCTGACGGACTTGATAATACAAAGCAGCGTCACCATGTTCAAACCAGTCATCTAACCCATTAATAGCTACCAAATATTTCCAATAAATGTTAAGGAAATTTTGGTCACAGTTGTACATAGAATTCGTTTCTCTTCTCCAACCTTTGTTTTTTCATTCTTCCTTCTTATTTTCTCTCCTCCATGGATCTAATTTTTTTTATTATCATCTCTCTCCCCCGAGCCTTTCCGAGCCCTCTTTCTCTCATTTCCTCTTCCATCTTCACTATTCTCCTTTCATTTTCTATTCCACCCTCTCCTCCTCCTCCATCATCACTCTCTCCTTTCATTTTCTATTCCACCCTCTCCTCCTCCTCCTCCTCTTCCATCTTCACTATTCTCCTTTCATTTTCTATTCCACCCTCTCCTCCTCCTCCATCATCACTCTCTCCTTTCATTTTCTATTCCACCCTCTCCTCCTCCTCCTCCTCTTCCATCTTCACTATTCTCCTTTCATTTTCTATTCCACCCTCTCCTCCTCCTCCATCCTCACTCTCTCCTTTCATTTTCTATTCCACTCCTCCTCTCCTCGTCCTCCCCCTCCATCCTACCTGTACCTGGAAGGATTCACAATAACTGAAGCAACAACTCACACCCTCGCTAAGACTTAGAAAACTCTAAGAAAGGTCACAAACATCTTTTTCCCTGTAAACACGATTGATATATATATATTTATATTTAATTTTTTTTATACATTCTTAAACTTTGTCTCTTGTAATTCATTCAGTATGACTTGTACTTGGTGTTCAGTCGTCCTTGATAAGATAGAGTTAATGTATGTTGTATAAACGTGTGTCTTGTATAACTGTATTTGTGCTGGAGGCTTAAATTAATACTTTTAAATCTGTTTATTATACACGGTCCATCCCCTCTTCCCCTTTATTGCTCTTCTTCTTCTTCTTCTTCTTCTTTCTCCTCTTCCTTCTTTTTCTCTATTCTCATCCTCTTCTTCATTATACACGGTCCACCTTTTTCCCTTATTGTCTTCTTCTTCTGTTTTATTCTCTTTCTCTTCTTATTTATGCCTTTCCTCCTTTTCTTTATCTTCTTCCTCTTCTCCTTTAACATCTTCCTTTTCTTCCTTCTCCCTTTCTCTTATTCCTTGCCCTCTTCCTCTTCTCCCTTATCCTCTTCCTCTTAGTTCTTACCCTCTTTTCTTTGCCCTTGTCCCTCTTCTCTTCTTCCTTATACCTATCCTTTTCTTCCTTATCCTCTTCCTTTCTATCTATTGTGGCCGAATCATATACAGTATAATGACACCACCTCTCAAAACGCACAGGCAAATTCTTCTCATATATAAAAATTGCACACTGCCTCGTCCTCATTATCAATTATGAAACAAAGATTTTAGGTTAAATACCATAAATTACTATGGGATATGTGTAAATATGTGTTAATGTGTAAATAAGTGAAACTAGCTCATGTGTAATTATGTGTAATATATGAAAATCTGTGTAAATAATTGTAAATATTATTTATATTCGGATGTGCCCAACCACCATTTACCTTGAATATATATATATATATATATATATATATATATATATATATATATATATATATATATATATATATATATATATATATATATATATATATATATATATATATATATACACATATATATATGAATGGTCTTCAGTGTGTATCCTTTATGAAAGGAGCTTTTAACGATGAATGTTTGACCTTCAACAGCCTCGGGTAAGATGTGTGTCTCCCTCCACCTTGTGTATTGGTGTACGTGGAGGAGAGTGTTGCTTGTGTTTGTTGTAGTAGTGTTATTTTACCTCCTCTCTCTCTCTCTCTCTCTCTCTCTCTCTCTCTCTCTCGTTAGTGCTTTTGTTTTAAGTGTCTCAGCTGCTGTGTCTAACCAAACTCTCTGTGGACGGTAGTTTAAGGCATGCTTGGACTCCCTTTATTTTAGCATTTTTAAGAGCGATGATTTAAGGTACAACATTTTAGGGATGTCGATTTAATCTATAATAATTAAGGGGTAAAACAAAAGCCCTTTAATGGTCAACACAGAGTCACAGTAACTTACCGCGGACAAACTTTTAATATTCAATTGCAGGAACAACGCTCAGTCATTATCTCATCTCATTGGTGGTTAGGAGGATAATCTTACCCACTGATTAAATCCTCTGAAGACTTGGAAACAAACCTTTTTGGATGAAAGTTACACAAGCCATGACGGCGGCTGCCTGGTGTACCGTTTGTGGGTAAAGTTAGTTCAGTCAGGGTCATGAGAGCACCTGGAGCATGGCCAGGGACCACCCCAGGGAGGAGACTGTAATTGGCCCTTTGAGGTGTGCCATGATGCCCTCACTAGTGGCCGCAGTTGTGACACATGACAATTTCACGGTGTTCATAAACGGGAAGCGACTCGCAGCACACGCTTCGCTTCGGGTCTTAACTATGCACGACTGTATTAGTTCTGCAACTTCCAACGAGGGAGACATGCAAGAGGCAGGGGAAGACTGCTTGTGCAATTTTCAGTCCCCAGGATTTAATCTGCCTGAATTGCAAAAGTTATAATTTGCGGCGCTTTGACTTTTAATTTTTTTGACTGCTCTCCAGTTCCATGAAAACCGATCCCGACTGACTAACTGAAAGAACTTGTTTATCATTGTGTTCGAGGAAGTTTTGTGGTTAATTGTTCTTCATTCTTACGTTTTTCACCCTGCAGTTCAGATGATGATCTTATGCCGTAGTGACTCGATTAATTTTCTCTTTATACTTATGAATGTTGTATCGAGTAGGGAAGTTGATCATGTCTAACGTGTCTATTGAATGTATCACATGAGTCCATATATATCGTAATTATCCATCATTTACAGTATCTAGTGTGATACACATACACACACACACACACACACACATTCATTACGTGTCTGTCTGTCTGTCTGCCTGCCTGTCTGATTTCGTGTACAGTACATCTCTAAGCTATTTAGAAGTAACATAAAGAAGCACTGAATGGGTACTGTACCTACCATATTTCACATAATTTCCCAAAAGTTCTTTGTTATTGTTGGTGGTGGTGGTTGCTGTGTTATTATCATTGTTGTGGTGATGATGATGTACTCAAACAGCAGGAGAGCGGAGCGCAAAGGGAACCTCACCCGTGTGTTCAGAATCGGCGACTGATAACTAACAGAATCATACTGCAAAGGATATGAAAAAACTTGCTAATTTTCCTGTAGTGTTTTTTGCCGGGTTGATAACTACTGCAGAACACAACACACGAAAGAATTGTAAAATGCTTTATTTGTGTACCACTCAATAAAGAGGATGGTCTCTACGCTTCTTTTTCTAGTATGTTTTAGAATTACTTATGATAATTCACATTTAGAGAGCTGTTAACATTTTGTTGATGTTTTTATATGGTTTAATCGTAGGCACCTAGTTGCTGTAGTTCTTATCGAAATTTAGACTTCTAAAATGCGATGAGCAAAAAAAAATCTGCATTATTTAACTCGGAGCAGAAAAACATTAACAAATAACTCTAGGTGTTAAAACAACATAATTAACACTCTCTTAACACTTGAAGGCACAGAGAAGCATAGGATTAGCATCATTTCAGTTCATGAAGAAACACATTGCCTTAACACTCATCATCGTAGAGGATGACGACACTAGACGTCACCAGTTATCCCTGTCCTAATAGTACCACGCCTCCCCCCCCCCCTTCCTTCCTTTTTCGTCATTTTCCTTCCTCCCGCGTCTTCCTTCTTTGATGCCTGTCTGTTTTCTTCTTCTCTTGTCCCCTCCTTCAATTCATCTTAATAGTCTTCCCATCTTTCATTTATCTCCTTTCGTCTCTTCATTGAATTGAAATGAAACAGTTTATTTAGCCAGAAAAACACAGACACAGAGTGGATAATAATAACAATATTAACATGGCTGAGCCAGTTGAGAACCTGACCTCTCCTGTAGGCACCTGATATGTACTATACATTTATCTCAAGGAAGTGGTTTTCCGGCATCTTCGTGGTGTAGATTAATATAATATTTTTTTTTAATAATTTGTTTTTACTCTTATTTTTTGGCCCGAGTGGGCTATTCCCCGTAAAAAAAAGTAAAGTATTCATACAAAATTTACATTGTTTTAGCATGTATATAAACAGTTTATGTATTCAAACAACACCAAACTTCGTATATTTAACAAAGGGAAACCCAAGAAGACTGCACTGACAAGAATACTTCTATTCCTAAAACCTAACCAAATAGAAATGTAATCGTGAGTATTTCTCCTTCACAGGCTGAAGAAGGCAACTGTTGGATCTTCAATGACACGTCTGAGAACGAGTTTATCTGGGAAGGATTCGTGTCGCAGACGAAGATCAAGAGGCTGACGCTACACCTGCGGCCTGACGGCACCCTCAAGACCATCCCCACTATCGCCATCCAACACCTGCCCGGGATAGAGATGTTCGAGGTAAGGTGCTGTGTGTGTGTGATAATAATAATAATAATAATAATTAATGGTTTATTGAAAGAGCATGGCAGCCGGAAGGCTGAAAATATACAATTACATAATTGGGGAATGGGTCTCTTGATTTGCAAATGATATACAAGTAACAATATAATTAGGTGTTGATATTTTTTATAATGGTTGGGACTGGGCTGTTCTTATAGCAATCAGTTCGTGTTCGTATGGGCTGGATGCGGTTGGGCAGGTGTGTGGCCAGGACAGTAGCTTGGGGCAATGCAGGTGTGCTCCATCCTTCAGGTTAGGTCAGGTGAAGCCGTGACGTCAGAGGGAGGGGAGGGGGGGGGGGTCAAACAGACTCGGCCTGGCTGCTCAAACTGGGAGCGCCTTCAAGGGCACGTCTTGTATCGCTGGTGGTTGACAAGTGTGTGTGTGTGTATGCTACAAATTATTAATGACCTCTTCTGGAGGAAAAAATCGAAATCACGGGCTACATATTGTTTGTAGGTCTGTCTGTTAGTCCGTGTCCTTGTGCCTCGGAATATTAGCAATGGATGAAATCAGAAAGCACAAAACTTGGTACTAGAACTAATGTGCCTGATGTACAGTAGGTGATCACCGGTTGAGTAGAGTGTAGGTAAAAGTTATCAGGTAGAGTGGAGGTAAAAGTTATCAGGTAGAGTGTAGGTAAAAGTTATCAGGTAGAGTGGAGGTAAAAGTTATCAAGTATGGTGTAGGTAAAAGTTATCAAGTAGAGTGGAGGTAAAAGTTATCAGGTAGAGTGTAGGTAAAAGTTATCAAGTATGGTGTAGGTAAAAGTTATCAAGTAGAGTGCAGGTAAGAGTTATCAAGTAGAGTGCAGGTAAGAGTTATCAAGTAGAGTGTAGGTAAAAGTTATCAAGTATAGTGTAGGTAAAAGTTATCAAGTAGAGTGAAGGTAAAAGTTATCAAGTAGAGTGGAGGTAAGAGTTATCAAGTAGAGTGAAGGTAAAAGTTATCAAGTAGAGTGAAGGTAAAAGTTATCAAGTAGAGTGAAGGTAAAAGTACTAGTTTTTTATCATTATCTTTAGTTGACTTAGAAAAGTCTCACTCATTCACGGACAGAGTAAATGTGTTTCTGTTTTACGCTGGTGTAGTGTTCGTGTAAAGTTGATCTGCGATATATTACATTCATATAATTTTGAAGTTCATTTGATTGTGTTTTGCATTTTTATTTAGGAGAGATATAGAAACTTGTGAAGGGGCGAGTTATTTATTCTCTTAACACTGAGCTCTGTAACTAGTTTCACTCTTTTATCGTGACTTGTTTCAGAGTTAGTAGATTAATATTGACTATTGTTAACTCCCTTAAAATGCTAATAGTGTGGTGTAGTTGTTCACGAAACATTACGTTGGAAATAAATATAACAGCTGTAGTCGTGTATGAACTTTAATGACAGTTAATATTAGCAGTTTAGGTTTTAAGAAAAATGGATCAATAACATCCCACAAGTTAGGAACTTGTCAAGGAAGTTCAGAACAAGTATCTAATTGGGTTACACAGTTTACAGAGTTTGTAGCTTCTTATTGTCCCTCCTTGCCCTCGTCCACCAGGTGCAGTACGCTACCTTCAAGACCGTCAAAGCCTTCAGTTTTGGCAACTCCACCACCCTCTCGAAAGTGTCGCTCTCCAGGAACTCGATAGCCACCCTAGCACGCAACGCCTTCACCCACCTGCCCTCCCTGGACATCCTCTCCTTGGGCGAGAACCACATCACTGAGGTCAACCGCCACGTTTTCGTCGATCTTCCCAAGCTCACTAAACTCTACATGGACCGCAACAACATAACCACTGTCCATGAACGAGCCTTCCAGGGCCTCCACAACCTTATTGAGCTTGAGCTGTTCTCTAACCAGATTCATGTAAGGAAATGTTGTTGGTTGTGATTATTTTTGTTTAATGTTGTTGTTTACATAGTATGTTAAAGAATATCGCAGAACCCTGTTTGTTAGTACAGGTAATTGCCGTATGATTATTTTCCCCGAAGATTGAATTTATATTTTATCTTCTCCTTCGTTCAGGTGATCACCCCAGACACCTTCAAGGGCCTGCGATCCTTGGAACGCCTCGACCTCCACAAAAACCGCATTGAAGTTATCGGCGATAAGACCTTCCGCGACCTCCAGTCCCTGCAAGTGTTGGATCTGCAAGAGAACTCCCTCAAGTACATCGCTCCTAAAGGCTTCAGCGGACTCGAAAAGTTGAGGCAGCTCAACCTCCAGGTATGTTACGTGTTTACAGGGTTTACCCTATTCCTATTACAAGTTCTTCAGCTCATGACTTTCACGTATTATTGAATGAAAAAGATCAAAGGCTGCTGCCAATACACTCATAGAATTTCCAGTAATTAACTAATGTCAGGCTCTATCAGCGAGTACTAATGCTCAGGGTTTATTTTATCTTCGTGACTACCAGGACAACAAGCTGCTGACACTGGGCCCTGAGGTATTCAAGATGGCCCCCAACATCCATCACCTGGACATCCGCGCCAACGTGCTGGAGACTCTCACCCAGGAGACGATGCAACCGCTCATGGACAACCTCAACAACGACACTATGCTCTTCTTCATGGAAGGTGAGTACACCTGCATGTTTTACTCTTCCTAGCATTGGTTGTGTATCCGGAAAGGCGTCTCGTTTACGGCCTGTCGTGGGAAGTTGGAATAGAGAAGTATACTATATGTAGTTGTTTTCTTCTGTATAAAGTGCTTCTGTGCACAGATGTATTTAATAACAAATAGAACAGCAACAATTGTGGTAAATAAGAGAAAAACAAAATGCCTTCCAATTACAATAAAAGAACAAAAATGAATCGCATAGAGCCCAGAAATCTCTTCGGTTGGCTGCACAATAGTGGCCTTCATCTTTGATACTACGACGACCCTAAACTTTAAAGAAAACTTCCTCTTCTAAGGAACAAAACACCGGTGTTACGAGTATTGTTATTATCATTTATGGCTTCCTTCTGGGTGTATGTTGGTGGGTGAATAAAGGTTAAGGTGGAAAACCACTCCAGCCAAAAACTCTTGAGAAGTAATAATAGCTTTAATAGTACTAATATTGATAACACTTGATATAATAAAAGCGTTGATGGGAGTAATTGACTTAATAATTGAGGGATATTATCGTCAAGGATCAAATTACAATTGTGCTTTATGTAATTGGTGTCTGGAGTTCAGGTAATTCTTAAATGAAAACGAACATATAAACAATTCAGAATTAAATAAATACCAATGAAAAACATAAACTGAGTCATACACAGCATCATATACATAGAACTTTAAATAATTTTTTGTAAACCGTTGACATAATAAAATCACCAGACCTCTTACAATATGCGGTAAACGATCAGAAATAGACGAGTTTATTTTTGCCGTGTTGGGAAACATCCATAACAATACTACTGATCTTATCTTACTATTATTTAAAGACTGTGCACTTGAAGGTAACATAGTTAATACGATTTACTGTTCATTGTATGACTTTTCTTTACGTGTTGTATATCTGACTCCGGTCGAGGCTTATCAAATGCAGCTGGGGTCGAAATTATACCCTGTCTCCTGGTACCTCCACAAGTCAATGATGATACACATACAAGGCTTGAACCTCACTCACGGCTGTTGTCTCTTATTCCAGCACAACATATTCGTGGACATTATACGTGACGTTAGTTTATATACCTTGATAAGCATAGATAATCGGGAATATATATTTATATAGCGATATGGACAGGTAGATATGCATATAAATACTATACTTAGAGGGCTGGGAAGAATTTTATTATATTGTCGGGAACTATAATTACTGTTAGAACTACACACACACGCACACACACACACACACACACACACACACACACACACACACACACACACACACACACACACACACACACACACACACACACACACACACTGTTATGTCGTTGGTGATACATATATCATAACATTCCATATACTTTATACATATACTAGTACAATATATTTCCTCACACATTTAACCAGACACATTCGAGCCGGTGTTATACTACGTCAGTATGTTACATATTATATATTAAATTTGCATTATATAAACAATAACTTCGTGATCAATTGTGTTCTCTTTGTCGAATGAACACAACCACGGGAGAACACATGTATAGTATTTATCATTAACCATAACACATTTATAGTTGTGTTTGTCTTGACTGATTGACCGATTGACACACAAACCAACTGAGAGACTTACTGGCTGACTGAGATACTTGTTGATCGACTAGTAGACTTGCTGACTGGCCGACTGACCGAGAGACTGACTGAGATATTTCATCCTGCCTGGGCACTTTGAATACAACACACTGCACGAAGCCTTGTACGCAGTTGGGACGACTATAGGACGCCCGACTGAGGTGTTCTGTATCGGGACTTGAACCACCCACCATTGCGTCAGAATGCGAGTGCTGTATCCACTCGTTCACCACCCCTCAGTAGTATACTGAATATATACACATAAACCACCTTAATGCAACTAGAATATATTTACTCCACACTTATTACTTAAACCATCCATGTGCAAGATCTTGAGAGTTAGTGTAGCTCTAGCACTATATCATGGGTCAATAACCTCAGGAACAATGACATTTTACATATAGTATTAATATATTCTAAGTGAAAGTTAAAGGAATATGGAAATACATGTTAATGACCCGAGGAAGAAACGAATGTGAGAAGAAGCAAAAGTCAGGAGTCACCAAGAGTAAATCTGAAAATAACGTAAAATCTATGAAGGTAAATATATTTTTTCTCCTATAGATGAATGTGAGATGTACCCGTGTTTTATGTAACCTGGAAGCATTGTATTATTGAGTGACTTGAAAATATCTTGAATGGGAATGTAATTTGATTTCTTAGAAGTGAAATGCAAATATAGATATATCAAACCCTGGAAGGTCAAATACATGATAATATGTATATTTCTGGAAACGGAAGGTGAGGTGAAAATGAAAATATATTTGGGTTACGTGAACTATACCGTAATATACTTCGAGTACTTGGAAATAAAATGGATGCGGGGATATATATTTAGTACCTAGGTCGTGAAATTCAAGTTAGAAATAGAGCAGAGTAGAGGTTATATAATGGAGGCTATATAATTAATGAAATAACTACCACGCGCGTACACACACACACACCATCATATACCAATAAACACACACACACAAATACCCACACACAAGAACATACACACACACACACACACACACGTACACACAGACTAAACCAACAGGTATATTTAGCATTCAGTTGGCTACACCCCTGAAGTTTGTATATACTGCCAGTGTTGACACGGTGATTTTCGTACTTGGCCGTGCTTCCAAGTGTTAAGCTTAGGTCAACAAGGCAGGCGAGGAAAGCAAAACAAATATTACAGGCGTAGCACTACACCGAAGGACACCTTAATTTGGGGGGTGTTATGGGTGCTGTGTGGGTGACAGAAAGGGGAGTAGGAGAAGGTTATACATAGAGAGAGACAGACATAGAGGGAGAGTGGTGTTGGTAATAAAAGGGAAATGTAAACACAAATGTTTTCAAACACACTCATTAGTACACACACACATGCTCAAACACCCACATGTACACACACACACACATGCTCAAAGACCCGAATGTACACACACACACACACACACACACTCAACACACACCGACCACGACTATAAGGATAACTAGTGATAACGGGCTCTTTCGTGCCCTTGTGAGAGTTTGAACGCTCGTGACAGCGTATAGGGTGCGCCAAGTCCGTAGACTTGCATCGTTTTCCATTGTAAATAAAATTGTTAACTAATGCCTTCCTAAAGAAAACATCGACATGGGACCAGTTTTGTTCCATTCTACGAATTTTTTTGCAATTTTTCCACCAAGTTTGATAAAAAACGATTGTGCCGTTTCTGCTGCCCAGAACAGACACACAAACAGACAAATAGACACACGCCTAGTCCTATAGTATATTAGATGACGGTTAGAGATACAGATGAACCTTACAGTTATTAACCACGTTGACTGGACATAAACTCTCCTGTTGGGTACACCTGCCTCACCTATTTATTACCAGCTATCAACACATGCGGGGCCGTCGACAGTTATGAACGCTAACTCCTGATGTTTGTTTTTTCAATGTGTGTTTGTGTGTTTCTGTGTGTGTGTGTATGTGTGTGTGTATGTGAGAGAGAGAGAGAGAGAGAGAGAGAGAGAGAGAGAGAGAGAGAGAGAGAGAGATTAATTGCCCATCAGAAGCAGCTAAATTGAAATATTATGAATGCTCCTAAGAAATGCAGACGTGCCAGTAGGGAAAGGCTTGCCATTGTGACATTACTTTTGTCTGTTGTTCCTCGTGTGGCGGGATATACAGTGGGTGCTACAGTTCTAAATTCCTATTCCCTTTTCTGTACTATCTTAATTATAGACATAACTGGTCCTTTGGGTTATGTAAGGTCCTTTACGTTGATACCAGTAGCATTTATACGGAAACAAATGAGGTTAGACTGTGGCATACTGATATCTTCTAGTTACAAATACTACTGTAGAGTGTAACAGTTGTGATCACGTTCATCTTTCACACTTGGTACCCGTAATTAGTTATCGTTTGTGTTAAGGCTCCATGAGATTATTTAAAATTATTCAGGAGATATTTTCTGTTCTTGGGTGTGCGTGTGTGACTTCTCCTATAAACAAACCATAAATCCTATATCCGGAGACAATTTATTTAGGGTCAACAAGTACAAATCGTTTTCTGTGACATTTTCACAATCGATCGTCCTTGATAAAACCTCGACACTAGGTTGTTGATTAACTTCTGACAAAAGCCACCAATAAATGTCATGTTCCACAACTAACATTATTAAGTCATGTTGACGAAATTTTCTCAGCTGATGTAGCGAAAGTATGTACTGCCCATTCTTTATCATCAAGGGTACTTCGTTACAAAGCTTGGATTACCTGAAGATCAGACATCCCAGCTTGTTATTCTTAATGAATATAGTCACTACTTTTACCTGAGGGCTAGGGTAGATTAGGTTATCTTACAGTAGTAGTTAGTAGGTATCAGGCAGCTATCAAACAGGGAGGTACTACCACCTGGGTGGATATTAGAAGCATATTGTATTGTCTAATGGTAGACCCTGCTGCTGTATGGCATCACGAAAATTGTGAGCAAGTCCCATGTTGCTGATCTGACTTTCTGCCTCATTTACACACAATTGCAGGGTCTCAATTGTTTCTCTTACTTTGACAACACAACATACATAATGTATAACGTTTCTCATTTTTTTTTTCGTTTTTGTATTTATTTATGGCTATTATTATTTTTAGTATTTTGTTATTAATTTTTGAATTATAATAATATAAATAATAATAATAATAATAATAATAATAATAATAATAATAATAATAATAATAATAATAATATATTTTATTATTATTATTATTATTATTATTATTATTATTATTATTATTATTATTATTATTATTATTATTATTATTATTATTATTATTATTATTATATTTTCGCCCCTCAGGCCCTGATGTGGGTCAGTGACCT